GCGTTCATACCAACGTGCAACGTAAAGATTCAACTCATTGCTCATAGTTTGAGCGACTGAACATTCGGCCGTGTTTCCAAAGCATCCAGTTACCTCCGGTTGCCAACGCGCTACGGGTTATTGAGGTACACCTGATTCATATTCTAAAGTTACTGATGCTCGGCCCTACTGTTGCCTCACAGTGGAGGAGAGTGACATACGCACGTGTTAGACGTGCGTCCTAATGCTAGTTGTTAAGTCTAATTACACAATATTCCGATCGGTAGTTCAACATGGCACCAATGCAAGCTACACGTAGGTCTCCCAACTCCTCCACCACTGGACGGGTAGCTGGGACTGATGAATAACTACCAGTTCCCTGTGAGGACCTGTGAGGACATACCTTCGTCGCCCAACGAGCACCTGGGCCCGTTGTACCAGTAGCTTTCCTTGGAGGACCCTCCTAAGGTGCTCAATTTGCTCAAGCTCTTCCAGCTACAAAGACTTCCTTGTCTCTTTCAGCCTCGCTATGTGTCAGATGCGCCGGTTCCTGATTCATTCGACATGGGTCGAGCAGTATGCTGGAAGCTTTCACGCACTTGACGTCTCGACGCCGGGAGATGTACGACGCACAGAATAATTGATATTTATAAAAACATAATCTTGTTTAACGAGTGCCCCCAAGAGAGAGGGAACCCCTTAGCCCGCTCAAACCCACTAAAAACGCTAGCTAGCATTCGATCTCCGGGGTAACCGGCTTGTCCTCCTGCGGAAGCGCTTGCTCCTGGTCAGCACGGACGATGCTGCCATCCGCAGCTTTGATGCCATACTTTTCCCGAGCGCGGCGGCAACCATTTCCGCCACTACCTCTTCCCCTCGTGTCTCCCATTCCTCTCGGTTCTTCTTGGCATAGTTAAGGTACTCGTCACTGGAAACAGCCAAAAACTCCGCAGTCCTGAGTTTTGTGTCAAAGGGATGATATAGATCACAAGATCCAAACTCTCCCTGGTACCAAAAAGTTGCAGGTCCTTGTCCATTCGTCTTTTAGGTAGGCCACGTAAAGCTCTTCAACAAGTTTTGGTTCCACTTTCTGTAGACGTGCCAATGTTGCATTGTGTGGCTATAGAAGAAACACGGAAGGTGGAGACAGACGTGAGACAAGGTGATGAAGCAGTTGGACGAAATCAAAGGTGGGCGGAAGTTCCTTACCTGATGTCACTAGCTTGAATGATGTGCTCAATCACGATGGTAGCTTTCCGGTTCACATCGTCTCGAGCTTCCTCTTGCCGGCTCCAGTTGCTTATACTCATATCCATGGCGTTGGTGGAATCACGGGTGTTGCCAGACTTGAACGCTTTCTCCCAACGATCGTTTCGCGAAGGATTTTAACTCTTTGTCTACAATGTCGTGGACATGACGCCGGGGGTTGCGAAAAAGGAAACCGAGAATGTGCAAAGGCGGTAGGGGGGGCTGCACAATGGCAGCCATTGCTTGGGCTGCATAGCTCATGAACAAATTACATTCACGACGAGTTGACGGAATCGAACAAGATCCGATCCGTCTTTGAACAGCAGGCCCTTAGGTTCTCAAAGTCAGACTGATCAAAAGATCCCCGGCTAGGTCCAGGGGTTCTAGAAGGAAGAGTGTCATGACAGCAAAGTGAGTTCCAGCTCAACGGTCTGCATTACACAAGAGCAGGATCGATGCTACCTGTTTGCCACGCTTCGGCCTTCATACTTCGTTGCAAGCTCTGAACCTTCTTTGACTAGCTGGCGATTGGAAACACCAGAGTGGTTATCAGGAAGAACAACATGAAGGCTGAGATATGAAAGCACCAATTTGAAGACGTTTGTTAGACTTCTTTTATGGTTTGCTTACCAAGATCATGAATCAATGCCGAAAACGCACAGGCGAACTGTGTAAGAGGGTCACTGTTGGTTGAAACGGCCAAAGTTAGAGAACAGCAGAGCAAAACTTGAAACCAACGACATGCTTGTTCTTTGCCTACCTAGTGATACCGTATGTGTGGCTGGAATACAGCAAGGTGAGGCAGAATCAAGTCATTAGAAGTACAAAGACAAAGATACTGCCGGGCACTCAGGCGAAGGCAGACTCCCTCGTGAGACCTGGAAGCCGCTGCCTTGTCAGATTGATCCAGGTGAGAAGGAGCAATTATTCGGCTCATCAACTTTACCACTGCCAAGCAAAGAAAAGCGTGAGTTTGGTTTGCTTTAGTTCAAATTGAAATTCAGTTGCCACCTATTCCCTTACCGCTCATTAAACGTGGCTTGCATGGTCCAAGTTAGAAGACAAGGGGAGGTGGACGGGGCATGAGATGACGATTGACATTGCGAGAAGGAGAGGCGAGTTGCGTGGCTTACTGTGGAAAGGATTGTCATTGTATTGTAAGCAATGACGCTGACGAGTGATGCAGCTCCTTGATGCATCCGCAGGTATCTTTACTTTCTCAGCGTCCACCGCACCACACTTCTGAAATTAGGCAACATGATGATTTCCCTCACTTCATCCATGGATTGGACGATAGCTGCAGCTTTTGGATTGTCTGACCTTGATTGGGACGACAAACGCATAGTGTTGTTTGTGTAGTGCAAGCGACCGGGCACCAATAATTTGCTCCAGATTCTAAAGCAGTCATCTCAACATTCGCATCTACCGTAACGATGGTTTTCTCTGAAAGACAGTGTTAAGGGCTTGCAGTGCTTTAATGTCATTGCGCGTAGCTTCTGCTGCAGTCTCATTGTTTTTTGGAGGGGGCGAGGAGGAGAAGCTTGTTCGGGGGACTTCCTGTCCGGTGATATCCTCGTTGGCCTGGCCCTGGTACATTTTCTACGTGATTTTACCGGTTTGAGATCGAGGGTTGTGTTCGGGTTTCTTGTGAGCTCGCGATCGTGAGTACAAGTGGCTGTGTGACCTTCCACGCTTCCAGGAATGGAGTTGCGGGAATAAATACGCTTATTTCCAAAGACCCTTGGGCAATAAATAAGACGTGCTGCCCCAAAAGTGTGAACGACATGGCACATGGCACCAATGCAAGCTACACGTAGGTCTCCCAACTCCTCCACCACTGGACGGGTAGCTGGGACTGATGAATCAACTACCAGTTCCCTGTGAGGACCTGTGAGGACATACCTTCGTCGCCCAACGAGCACCTGGGCCCGTTGTACCAGTAGCTTTCCTTGGAGGACCCTCCTAAGGTGCTCAATTTGCTCAAGCTCTTCCAGCTACAAAGACTTCCTTGTCTCTTTCAGCCTCGCTATGTGTCAGATGCGCCGGTTCCTGATTCATTCGACATGGGTCGAGCAGTATGCTGGAAGCTTTCACGCACTTGACGTCTCGACGCCGGGAGATGTACGACGCACAGAATAATTGATATTTATAAAAACATAATCTTGTTTAACGAGTGCCCCCAAGAGAGAGGGAACCCCTTAGCCCGCTCAAACCCACTAAAAACGCTAGCTAGCATTCGATCTCCGGGGTAACCGGCTTGTCCTCCTGCGGAAGCGCTTGCTCCTGGTCAGCACGGACGATGCTGCCATCCGCAGCTTTGATGCCATACTTTTCCCGAGCGGCGGCAACCATTTCCGCCACTACCTCTTCCCCTCGTGTCTCCCATTCCTCTCGGTTCTTCTTGGCATAGTTAAGGTACTCGTCACTGGAAACGCCAAAAACTCCGCAGTCCTTGAGTTTTTGTGTCAAAGGGATGATATAGAAGTCAAAGAATCCAAACTCTCCCTGGTACCAAAAAGTTGCAGGGTCCTTGTCCATTCGTCCTTTCAGGTAGGCCACGTAAAGCTCTTCAAACAAGTTTGTTCCATCTGTAGACTGCCAATGTGCATTGTGTGGCTATAGAAGAAACACGGAAGGTGGAGACAGACGTGAGACAAGGTGATGAAGCAGTTGGACGAAATCAAAGGTGGGCGGAAGTTCCTTACCTGATGTCACTAGCTTGAATGATGTGCTCAATCACGATGGTAGCTTTCCGGTTCACATCGTCTCGAGCTTCCTCTTGCCGGCTCCAGTTGCTTATACTCATATCCATGGCGTTGGTGGAATCACGGGTGTTGCCAGACTTGAACGCTTTCTCCCAACGATCGTTCCGCAAGGATTTTAACTCTTTGTCTACAATGTCCGTGGACATGACGCCTGGGGTTGCGAAAAAGGAAACCGAGAATGTGCAAAGAGCGGTTAGGGGGGGCTGCACAATGGCAGCCATTGCTTGGGCTGCATAGCTCATGTAACAACTTACATTCACGACGAGTTGACGGAATCGAACAAGATCCGACTCGTCTTTGAACAGCAAGGCCCTTAGGTTCTCAAAGTCAGACTGCATCAAAAGATCCCAGGCTAGGTCCAGGGAGTTCTAGAAGGAAGAGTGTCATGACAGCAAAGTGAGTTCCAGCTCAAACGGTCTGCATTCACAAAGCCAAGCGCAGGATTCGATGCCTACCTGTTCTGCCACGCTTCGGCCTTCATACTTCGTTGCAAGCTCTGAACCTTCTTTGACTAGCTGGGCATTGGAAACACCAGAGTGGTCTATCAGGAAGAACAACATGAAGGCATGAGATATGAAAGCACCAATTTGAAGACGTTTGTTAGACTTCTTTTATGGTTTGCTTACCAAGATCATGAATCAATGCCGAAAACGCACAGGCGAACTGTGTAAGAGGGTCACTGTTGGTTGAAACGGCCAAAGTTAGAGAACAGCAGAGCAAAACTTGAAACCAACGACATGCTTGTTCTTTGCCTACCTAGTGATACCGTATGTGTGGCTGGAATACAAGCAAGAGTAGAGCAGAATCAACGTCATTAGAAGTACAAAGACAAGAATACTGCAAGGGCACTCAGGCGAAGGCAGACTCACTCGTGAAGCCTGGAAGCCGCTGCCTTGTCAGATTGATCCAGGTGAGAAGGAGCAATTATTCGGCTCATCAACTTTACCACTGCCAAGCAAAGAAGAAAGCGTGAGTTTGGTTTGCTTTAGTTCAAATTGAAATTCAGTGGCCACCTATTCCCCTTACCGCTCATTACAACGTGGCTTGCATGGTCAAAGTCTAGAAGACAAGGGGAGGTGGACGGGCGCATGAGATGACGAACTTGACATTGCGAGAAACAGAGAAGGCGAGTTGCGCTGGCTTACTGTGGAAAGGATTGTCATTGTATTTGTAAGCAATGACGCTGACGAGGTGATGCAGCTCCTTGATGGCATCCGCAGGTATCTTTACTTTCTCAGCGTCCACCGCACCACACTTCTGAAATTCAGGCAACATGATGATTTCCCTCACTTCATCCAATGGATTGGACGATAGCTGCAGCTTTTGGACTTGTCGTGACCTTGATTGGGACGACAAACGCATTTGTGACTCCAGTGACGTCACTTTCGCGACTTCGACCCTTAGTCGCGCTAGTCGCGGTTTCTAAGTCGCGATTTTAAATCGCGACTTAGCGCGACTAGCGCGACTTGCAGCGCGACTTACCGCGACTAGCAAGACTTAGTGCGACATTATATGCTTTTTACTAGAATAAAATTGCGACTTTGAACGACTTGAATCGCGACTTGCGCGACTTGCACGACTTTGCGCGACTTAGAACCACTGTTATCGCGACTATAACGACTTTCGCGACTTTAACGACTTTTCGCGACTTCCACTCGCCAATCGGGGGACTTCCAGATTGACTATCCTTGTACACACGAAAACGACGTGAAGCAAGATGTTGCTTTCTGCGAGATGGTCTTTGTTGTCAGCATAATCTGAATCGAAGAAGGATTTGCATATTCTGAGTGCCGATAGTAGTCTTTGTGTCTGACGGAAGCATGTCGTTCTTGATCTCAATTGAAGCAAAGAAACAGGAAGCGGCAAAGCACTGGCGACGCTCGACAAGGGCGGCGGCCTTTGTCTTTCTGATTATTGTTTCGTTTGTCTGGTCTCGGCAGACGAACATCGTGAAACGAATTCAGATCTACAAGGATGCATTTGCATTGGCCCCAGATGTTTTGGCACAGAATCAGCAAAGGAGTGTTCAACAAACCACCAATGAAGACGGTGCTGAACACGATCATCATAATAGCACCGACCCGAGTGAAGAAAACCGGCATGTGCGACCCAACCATGCGTATCCTTTTACGTTTGCTGCCTGTCTGATTGCCCGTGATGACAATCTCCTGTTGTCCGAATGGATTGCTTTTCACTACACAGTGTTGCCGCTGAGACACTTGATCATTGCTGTTGATCCTCTCAGTGTTACATCTCCTGAGCCCATCCTGGAGGCCTTTCGAGAAGAGCTGCCAGATCTGACCATTGATTTGTGGACAGGAAACTCCTATTGGTATGATGGAAGATGGTCCAGAGAGAAGCTTGAACACTTCGATCCGCACAATCATACCGGGGAGCATGCCTACATTATGCATCTGCAACGTCAAAATGCCTTCTACACAACCTGTGTGCGCCAACTCAAACAAGGGAACGCTAGCTGGACTCTCCTCGTTGACACCGATGAATTCTTCACCTACAACTCTCTGCTGCCGAGTGAACGATCTGGATCCAGCCCAATGCGGATGTCCCTTCCAAGCAGCATTGGAAGGCAGAATGAGACCATTGCACACTGGCTTGCCCGTGATAAGATCATACACAAAAACACCACAGTCTGCTATGTCTATCCAAGACTGTTCTTCTCGGCACAGGATCAGTTGTCCACACAAGAAATAGCAGATATCAATGACGCAGTGCCATCCTCTTCTTTTCCTGTTGACACCTTCCACACTCTCCGCTATCATTCCCATTGGGCAGCGGGGATGACTACCAATGGCAAATCTTTGGTCAATGTTCACAACTACAATGGACGAAACAAGGTCACCAATCCACATCGTCCCTTTGATGGTGTCTGTGACAATCACTGGGTACAACCCATACAATCAGAAAGGATCCCATTTCGAGTGCACCACTACAGTGGCTCCTTGGATACATTCTTGTCTCGTCCCAGTCGGACAGCACAACAATGGGCCAACAAGAATGACTTCCACATTGCAGGAAAAGACTACTCACTTACAGGGTGGTTTCACAACTTTGTGCAACTTGTGGGCGAAAAGATAGCATACAAACTTACTGTGAAGACAAGACAGGACGCATACTTGCGATGGAAGGACATCAAGTACAGAGTAGAAAAAAAGAACGAGATGATCCCATTAGCCTTCGAATATGACCAGCCAGGTGGTGCCAAGAATGGGCAACACTAGGGATCTCCCCACAGTAGCCATTCCATGTGGAGCACAAGATGTAAGTATGCCGGTAGCACAACTGTCCTTGACAGTGGCAAAGGCCAACAGGGGGTGCTTGTTGACAATCATGTTCCTGAGCCATTGCCAACTGCCGCTAGATTATCAGCACCTGACCTGTTGCAAGACTTTCAAAAAGCTAAAGCTGAAGCTAGCAGCCTGTGTAGCCAAACCTAGAAGCAGACTTTGTTTGCTGCTGTAGAATCCGGTCGCAGCAGTATCGTGCCGCACGGAATGGCTGGAAGGGACCAGAAAGCCGTTGTCCCTGAAACAGCTTGTACGAGCAATCGGAGCACCACCCGAGTGGTGGATTGACCTGGGCCCGGTTCCTCCAAGGATAGGGAAGCTACAACTGTGGGTGGTTTCTCGAGGCCAGGACTCGTTGGGTGGCCTTTTTGAACGCATAGATGATAAAACAATGACCGTCTCAGTGATGGGACGCGAAATACAAGTAGAAAATATGTAATCCCTAAACCTGTTGCGTATGAAAGCTATTCCGTACTGACGACGGCGACCCCGGCGTGTCCCCTCGTTGTTGTTTGTTTGCAGGCACTCCACCACAACTATTTTCTTGGGGATTCCCACTGCTCTTGTTGCTGGCTTGTTGTTTGCTGACTCCGCACATGGCACAAAAGGCATAGAGGCATAAGTTGTCACCTGACTGGCACTCCCGGCAAGTCCATGTCTGCTTTGTACCGCACATGCCACAGAACGGCTTTCGTTTGTCCGAAACATAATCACAAAGGCAAACCCAAGTGGAGGCTGCTTCTCTACGACTGAAAGTAGAACGAATACTGTGGGTAGAATGATTACTGCCCGCAGCCGAGAGGGTTGAGTCTTCCTTATTGACGTCCTGAGCAACAATTGCAATGGCAAGTACCGCGTCATCATCCATCTTCAGAGCCTTATTGCTTTCTTCGGGGCATGACACGGCGACTTCTGCCACTGGAGGCATGGGTTCTGCTGGATGTTGTTGTTGTTTGCTTGAGGACGGCGCTCTTTCCAGTTTCGCTGGTTTCTTGTCAGCAGCACTTTGCATCTGTTCTTGAGCTTTCTGCTGTGCGGCCGCAAGGCGTTTGCGGCGAATTAAATCAACCTTGACGGAAAGCTCCTTCGACTTTTTCGACTCGGGGGTGTCGGTAGTAGACTTGGTTGGCTTATTGGCCACCTTGGGCTTGTTGTCCTGCCTGTCACTCGAGGAGGAGAATACATAACAGTAGTCAATGGAAATGTCATCAAAGGCCATGGTGATGGACGACATCGATGCCTGCTGATCCATGTGCAAGTCCAGTGTCCTCCCGGAACCCTTCCTTCGTGGAGTACAAAAGGCACTGCAATCATTCGATTTGGACTTTTTATTGTGAGAGGAGGGCCTGCGACGAACACCACGATGCTCCGATTGACTCAATCCAACCTGATGCTTGTCTTGAGCTGTCGTCTTTTTGTGGTTGCTGATCCTCGGTCTTCGTTCTGGCATCACTGGTACTTTATTGCCCAGTAGTTGTTCTCTCGTGGTGTTTTTCTTCTTGGGAGTGGTGGACTGATGCGCGGTGGAACGACCTTCTCTGCCACTCTCCTTGGGGCTCTTGATGATACTATCAAAGGAGCAGCACCGCCTGATTGTGGACCGTCTACGACGATCGTTGTCGTCAATATTGGCACATTCTTCTTGCTGTTTCTTGGGGCTCTTGTTGCTAAAGGAACGACGGGGTAAGGTTGTATCTTGTGGTTTTGCTCCTGTTGTGGATCCTCTGCGGCTGGTCTTGTCGTCAATATTGGCGCATTCTTCTTGCTGCTTCTTAAGGTTCTTGCTGCTAGCGGAGCGGCGGGGTGTGATTGGATCTTGCAGTGCTCCTGCTCCTGATGTGGACTTTCTACGACGACTCTTTTTGTCAATATTGGTGCATTCTTCTTGCTGCTTCTTGGGGCTCTTGTTGCTAAAGGAACGACGGGGTAAGGTTGTACCTTGTGGTACGGCTCCCGTAGTGGACTTTCTATGGGGGGTCCTGTCGTGGATATTGTCGCATTCTTCTTGCTGTTTCTTGGGGCTCTTGTTGCTAAAGGAACGGCGGGGTAAGGTTGTACCATGTGGTACTGCTCCTGTGGTGGACTGTCGACGGCGATTCTTGTTGCATGCTCCCAGGTTGTTGCTGTCGGTATCGATCGAAACATTCTCCAGCCACGAACTGTCCATGTCCTCCGGTACCCCCTTTCCCGCGGTGGACTGACGATGGCTCACGGCTCGCCTATCTGCCAGAGACGGTCGGCTCCCTTTGTCCGCTACAGCAGAAAAGTCCTGCCTCCGTCGCCTTTCATGATTACTCTGTGCTACTAGTAGAGAAGGCCGTCTGGGGCTCGGTTTTTCAGTGTGCTGCCTTCGTCGTCCCTCGTGATTGCTGGTAGTACCATGCATAGACGCACCATGCATGGATGTAGAACCACGCCGGGCTGCACGCCCCGTTCCGGCGGCGCTGGGACGCCGTCTTGGAGTAGCAGGAGCGAGGGCTGTCCATAAGCGACGATCCTCCTCCTCGTCGCGTCCGTTGGAAGAAGCATCATCGTCGTCGTCGCCATCCAGATTGGCAGGCATCACCATAGAGGCAGCTCTGGACTTGGAGTTTCTATTTGTAGTAGTCCCATCATCCGTGAAGTTTCGCTGGCGACTGGGAGTGCAGAACGATGGCAGTACTACTGAGTCGGTGCTGCTGTTGGATCGAAAGAGTGTCCTATTCTTTCGAGAAGGAGTGACCAGACTGTCCGCCGAATACGTTCGCCTCATGGGGCTCTCGGGTTCTTGTTGTACGTTGGAAGCAGAAGAGTCATCGAGATTGCCAGGCATGACCAGGGGAACCCCAGAGGTAGTGGAGTTACGCCTCCTGGTGTCTGTAGCGTTTCGTTGTGGCGTACAGAAGGATGGCACTGCATCAATGGTGTTGGATCGGGCCAGTGGCGCTCGTCGAGCAGGAGTGGCGAGAGCACCAATATCGTACTTGCGGCTGTTCGACTCGCGCTTCAAGTCCATGAGGCTACTAGGCATTCGCTTGTTGTTGGGCGTTCGTGGTTGGCGCTGTGCTCTGGCCCGAGCTGCAGCAGGAGATTGCAGCGGCGACATCATCATGGTGAATATATATGCTAGATAACTTCCCTTCTCTAACCCCCTTGTGACAGTGCTCTGCTAGCTAGCTAGATACATGTATCAGCAACTCGAGGTCAACAAATTTGTGTTTGTAAAGGGTGGTTTGGTGGTTGGAGCTTCAAGGGGCGTTTTCCGAGAAGGGGTCTTTTGTGGAGTGGCTGGTCATCGTTGGGTCATAGTTGGAACAGGGTAGAACATCTTAATCAGTGAATGTCTCCTTCAGCTACTGACTGGTACAAAGAGCTTACATCACACGAGAACAGGCCAGGTACCGGTACTGGAAGCAAATTGAAAATTCCACAAAGATTTAACTTCCATCTCTAGTGAGGTGAACGAGAGCCCCTCAAACGCACGCGATGTAATACATGTAATACGTACAATGCGTATTCTACGTATTCCCGTATAATACGTATAACACGTATTACACGGTCGCCAGCCAGCCACCGTGACCGTT